CAATCAAGGCATTAGTATAATCGAGGAACAGCAGCCAGTACACCTTTTATCCAACGCAGATGTAATGGAATGCACGAAATACGAAACGGCACTTAGTGTAGAGACCTAGCTTGTGGACAAATTGACATCATCTGCATGATCACTTGTGAAAATGTGGAGGATTGATAGTTTTTCAAGCCCGTTCAACAGCACGGAGGTGCACACGAGTGGCCCATACTTTTGTGACTCTCTTCGGCACTGGTGCTGTTCTGGCTGTTACCCAGATGTCGGATCTATACCATTTCCCGGCCAAGTTGTCCCCTTGGGCAACAGAAATAATCTGAGGGGGCATTCACCATGAGTCTACTCAATTAATTTGTTCCGTGCGTACGCTAGTCACTTGCGCAGGTGTGTAGGTGTGTGTGTATAGCCCGTCGCCTTCAGCCAATTGGACCTCAGACGCCCTAAGTCATAGGGGTGCAGGTGGGACGCTTCAGCTCCTACGCACGGAACAAATTAATTGAGTAGACTCATGTTGAATGCCCCTCAGATTATTTCTGTTGCCCAAGAGGACAACTTGGCCGGGAAATGGTGTAGTATCAGTCTTTAAACATCGGTTAAAAAAACCTCTGCCGGTGTCTGTAATGCATCCGCACTCTTTCAGAGCGAATGCAGTCAGAGCATCTGGACAACTATCCTTGCTTGGCTTCAGTCTTGTGAGTTCCATGTAAACAATAGCGTGGTCGAATAAGTTAAGAGGATCACTGTTGAGAAAGGGAGGGGGAAAGTGTTCGATAATGAGGAGTTAAACTCAGTGCTGAGCTTGTTTACATCTACAGGAATTTTTGCTGGAGTTTCTTCAAAATCTCCCTCAGATCACGGTAATCGTGGTTTCCTAACATAGTTTCAAGATATGGGCTCTTTAACGTTATTATCTTGGCTTTTATAGCCAGAAACAGAAGATTGACACTGGCATTTAGCTTGTTTTATATGCCTTTATCTTTTCCTCAGCATTTGCTTGAGTAGTGGAAAATACCTACCAATCTGTAAATTGATGGTCTCAATAAGGCAATCTAGATTGGGAGAGAATTTAGCCTGTGAGATGCTTGCATTGAACTGACAAGGCATCAATGGCGAAAATTGAGAAGTCGGTTGAATAAAGCGTCGGTATGAATTTCGTAATGTTTTCGGTTGAAAAATTTCACCGTTTGAATTCTGAACGACCTTGTCATCGCAATGCATTTGGCTTTACACTGAGTTGTGGAACATGGAGTCACGATGATGAATGGCATCAGCAGTACGCCGGTACGCAGTACCAACATTTCGCTGTAGCACAACTACCAGCAGTCGCGCGCGGTCTATTGATACTGCGAGTCACCCGGTCCCCTACACAGGCTCGAATCCGCGCCCACGGAGTACAAGGCAGGTTTGTCATCGTTTAGGATACAGGCTAGTTCAAAGTATGCCTCCGTGTGGAGCGGACCACAACCAAGCCACTGGCTTGCGTACATCTGACTCCTCAATTAGGCAGGAAATCTGCCGTTGTGCATGTTGAAGGTGTGTGAACCGCCTCCGTTAATGAGACGTGACTCCTATTCACATGCCTCCCGGTCTTATGAATCCATCCTTACAAACGATAGGGGTGTGTGGACGGAGCTGTGGGCGACACTGCGCAAGTCACCCATGGTCCCACTGTAGACACAGGCGTTTTGTGTCTGTCATCAGGAAGGCCGCAGTGACAGGCAAATCCGGAGCCGCATTCAGCCAGAATTATATAGCCTCTGTAGGTCTATCGATCTGATTTGTCAGATTATAGAGGAATACAGGGGGTTGAACGGGCGGCTACATCCTGAATTCTATCCTTCAGAGAGATAATGATTCCATGCCACAAGCGGAACCTCAACGTTTTGTTACATGGTTTGTCACTTTATAGGTTATCTCATGCGGTGATACTTGGTAAGGCGGTGAGCGGAGGTGTTGGATGCAGTGTCGGCGACAAAAGACGTAAACTGGGAACCGTTGCAGGACATCAAAACCTCGGGAAGGCCAGTTTGACTGAAGATGGGTTGGAGACAACCCAGAGTGGCTGATGTGGTTGGTGGGTTGACGGCGACCACTTCTGGCCATTTGGAATAGGCGTCGACCATGACCAGATGGGAAATGCCATCGATAGGACCAGCGTAGTGAATGTGCACTCGAGACCACGGTTTTGCTGGCGGATTACAAGGGACCGGTGATTGGCATGGTGCCATCTTTGAGGCTTGATGACAAGCCTGGTACACGGGGGCAGACTGACTGGCTTTGTCGTCGGTTCGGTCGCTTGGTGCTGTCGGAGAATGTACCCGAATAGGAAGATCGGCCAAGCCAAGGGTTTCGAGCCAGTCGAGATCAAGCAAGTTGAGCTTCGCCTTCGTGATGTAGCAGATAGCGTTGAACGTGGCGCCCCGGAAGGAGACGGAGCAATGCAGCTGCCCAGTTAGCTGCACGCGACCACCACAGGCGCTGGTGGCAGATTGGGAGGTCGGACCGAACGGCGGCTTGTCAAGGGATCGCCAGAGATCCTCGGAGATCATCGTGATCTCCGATGCAGTGCCCAACTACAATCGGACCGACTGACCGTTGATCAAGACGTCGAAGAATTTTCTCCGATCCGCAGCGTTGATTTGGAACGTGGCCAGCAGGCTCAGGGAGCTGCCAACCGGACCAGGTTTGGGTGTGCGTCTGGGTCGGGACCTCTTCTTTGGATTGCGGGTGGGGGCCAGCCCAGTTTTGGCTTCCTTGGGAGATGTGGGATGGCAGTAACCATCCCGGTGCCCTACCCTGCCACAACGATGACAACGATACTGCCGGAAATTGCAGTCCCGGTGGAAATGCCGGGCACCACAGAATCGGCACGCGTAGGGTGGGGACTTCACTCGGTCGGATTGGGTGAGGGGCGCGGACGATTGCGCCTCGGTACTGTGACTGCCTGGACCATACCAGGTGCGGCGTTCTGGATCATGGCAGGATCGTGCTTCAAGTTGAGCAGCGTTTGACACTCCTCGGCCAGGTTCTGGGGTGTGACTGAGCTATCCTGTTGTAGCTTGGACAGGAGGCGCGTCCGGATATCGGCATCGTGTGGAGACTGGAGGCCAGAGACGAAAATCAGGCATTTGAATTGGTTCTCGGTGAGCGAGCTAAGTTGAAAACGTTGAGATTCACGGTTGACCACGCTTGCGTACGTGATAAAGTCGTCGGCATCACGCTTGGCCAGCTGCAGACACTGATAACGAGCATTGAACAGAGGACTGCTCGCCAAAAATCTGGGACAACGTTCGGACCGTCTCGTTAAAGGTAACGTCGCGTGGGTTCCTCGGCAAGATGAAATTGGTGTAGCGTTGGTGTTCGGGCGTACCACGCTTGCGCAGAAGCAGCGGGACCTTCCACTTGTCGTCCTAGCAAGCCAAGTCAACGGTGAACAGGTCCTCGTACCGCTTATACCAGGATTCGAACGTTACCCCGGCCTTGGCGTCGTACAGGAATTCGCTGATGCCGTTAAACAAATGGTCCAATAACTGAGAAGTAGCGCTTGGACCTGTATGAAGGAAAGGACTGCAGAGCTTTTCGGTTACTACGGACATCAATTTAAGTTGTTGCTGTAGCATTAGCTTTAAATCGGCGTATTCGTCAGTCATGGTTCGTCAACTCTGTCGCCACTGTTATAATTGCGATGTTGTCTGATAAGATTGTCAGTGGCACGGCTGGAGCACGCCTACGGTAACGGATTGGAACACTGGCCAATCGAACGGATTTCCGCGGATCTGATGGCGTTAGCATAGACTGGGGTACGCACTGGTGAGACAGAAATTGAGCGAGCGTGAGAACGATCCTAGCCGCACGTATTCGGATGGACGCTGAGCCCTCTTAATGGACGAGGGCACGCACGCGAGGGGGTTACAGTAGACGCACGCTAGTGACTTAGAAGCGAACGTTGCCCAGCTAACGATGCACACAAAATCACGTGACCGAACGACTCCCAACTAAAGCGAAGAGGAAGTAAAACAAGTGGTCCTCTGAAGGCTCTTTCACGACCAACGAAGGGCGAATCCCAGGCAATGCAATGGGTTACTAAGTTAGGGAAAATTGCTACCACGACTAGGTGGTAGTTTGCAAAAGACGGTTGTCAACAGGTGCGCCGTTGTGCCGCGTCTCGCAGTGGCTGAACACTGCTACGTTGTGGGAGTAATTGGACCCATTTTCCACAACCATTATGCCGGAGTTTCTGGCGCGTTTTTGCGGGGATATTTGACGGGCCCGCAACACCCATGGTCCCACTGTAGACACAGGCGTCTTGTGTCTATCATCAGAAAGGCCGCAGTGACAGGCAAATCCGGAACCGCATTCAGCCAGAATTATATAGCCTCTGTAGGTCTATCGATCTGATTTGTCAGATTACAGAGACATACAGGGGGTTGAACGGACGGCTACATCCTGAATTCTATCCTTCAGAGAGATAATGATTCCATGCCACAAGGAGAACCTCAACGTTTTGTTGCACAGTTTGTCACTTTATAGGTTATCTCACATGCGCTGATACAGCTGCCAAGGTAGTTGGTCGCCACCAAGGACCAATGCAGGGTGAATTCCCTGTTAACGCTGCGGGAAAGTTTAGCGTTTTGTAGGTGTAACGTAAAAGCAGAAATGAATTACACGCAGTGCAAAGTTGCGAAACGCTGCTTGACGAGTTTCTAAGCTGGCAAAGAGTAGGCAGTGGTTGCACAGTGGAAAGCCATAGATGTGGTGTGGGTTTTTGGAAAAAAAATCAACAGACGGCGACCATCAGATGTGGAATTCAAGTTAATTAAACAGCCAGCCAACGGATTCAGTATGGTGCTTCTGGGTGCGATAAGAACAAATATAGTCAGCCTGCTAATCAAAACATTAAAAGAGCGCCATGAGCAAAATACCACAGAATTCAATTCCGGTAATTCTGTGCAATCGAGTGGGCACCGAAAACCGCCCAGCAGTGACCACCAGTGAGAAGGAACAAGAGAACATGAGAGGCGTAGATGCATTTGGTGTAAAAAATAGTAGACAGAAAAGGCTGGTGACAACGAACATGAAAGAGAAAGACGGAGGGTGAACGAACGTGGTACAAATGGGGCGCATCCGTGGTTGCTTATTCAGTGACAGTCACCGTGCATAAGCAAGGCGGACAAACTGGACGAGACGGGTTGCGAGAAATCAAGACGAGCATCGTACGCTGCGAGACAAGCGAAATGCTCAGGCATCCAGTCGTTTAGAGCGTCCAGACAAAGATTGAACCACTTTATCCACGAATCGCGCTCTTGAACCGTGTCCGCACACAACAAATGTCTGATGGGACGAAAAATTAAGGTATGTAGAGCGGTGGATGGAATCCCAAAAGCGTTGCGCAGACGGGTTACCCAATACGTATAACATCAACAGAGTCAAATGCGTGGGTTTGCCTTGATCGATTACTATCGGGTACAGATTCGCTGTTGGCGTACATGTTGATCGCACATTACAGTGTCCGTAATTTGACAAAACTGTGACATCAACTTGAGTAAAGTAGCAATAAAGGTTCAGGAAACATAAAGCTGGGAAATGTAAACAAATTGTTGTATTCTACATTCTTAGATGAAGTACATGGGATCGATTGGTTTATGTCTTAGCAGCTAAACACCAGAGCAAAACGTCTGCGAAATTGACAGTGTTCATATATTCTAGCCACTGACACCTATGCCAAACGATTATGCAATGCTACATGTGCTACTTGTCTTCGGATTCTCATTAGCCGAAGTTATTAGGTAAAAAGGAAAACCAGGGGGTAACCGGATCCACTGCATTTCGACAGTTGACTGATTTGACGCAAACGAACCGATGGACAGCAAACACAGAAAAGATCAATGAAGCTGAAAAACATCTAACATCTAACCTGCATACGCAAAGCATTCAAACCAAAATAGCTAGTTGCCATTACTGAAACAACACATGCGAATTTCGTTTACTGAGCCTTCTCCAATAAATGTGAAAATGCTCATGTGTGGCAATAATAATAACAATATCAACCTCAAACACACGAAGGCTGCTAAAGTAGCCACTATGAGATTTTGTCTAAATGCAAAAGGGAGGACAGATTGAGCATCATGGCGGAGACGTATGGGAATGCTGATGAGCCCGATGAGTATGTGCAATAATTCCGGATTGTTTACACAAGCACCAAACAAGAACGGGAACAAAACTAGTTGTCTTACTTATCCGAGATATTGTTATCCATACTTAATAGTGCAGATAACAACCTCAGTGGTTTCAATAGCTTTTCACACATGGGCAAGAAAGCTCACATTCGCAATAATAGGCAGACTCTGTCTATGCTTAAAAACCGTAAAAGCGCCGAAGTGAAATGAGTTTTGCGCAAGCATAATGTTTGGCAGAAAAGCAATGATAATCAGATGGAGTCGAGAACTATCAGAGTTAATGCACAGAACTTAAGATCATCGTATCCATAGTAAAAACGCACTCCAGATTCATAGCCAAAAAGAAATTAGACAGCTACACAACTAAAATCGAAGGTGGGTATAATGAAAAGAACAATTTTAAATGCTGGCAAGCGGTGAGATTCTACCGTGATAAGTGTTAGGGGAAAAAATACACGCAAACGAGTAGCCATCGGAATAGCTTTAACGTACACATGGATCGAATTGTGATAGAACGTGTAACGTAGCTGACGAACTGGAGGTCAAGGAGCAACCGAGAAGTGCACGCAGGACCGCAACAACAAGAAAATTCGACATACCTCTGTTCCAACCAGCTATGGTCTGGAGAGGAGCGGAAAAGAATGCTTTCGTTCGAATCCGTGCCGGAAGAACTCGCATTGATAGACGCGGACAACCAACCAGGCTCAATCGTCCGGATCGAACGCATAAATATGGTGTTGGCTCGAGCACAAATGCGTCTTGGGGCGGGTACAGCACGCGGTGCAGCAACATGGCGTAGATCGATGCGACCCAAAGGAGCAGTACTCTGGACGGATTGTTCGTTTTCGGGATATAACCAAAATCGTAGGTGGTCTGCTCTTAATTGACACCAATATCTACGCCACACTCCCAAGCCATCCACTTCCTCGAATATGGTCTAACAATGGAGAGTGCAAAGAATGGAATGTCAACATCCCCTGATGAAAAAGATTAAATAAACACTGCTTATGGTAAAACAAGTAATCTAGTTCGGATTAACTCACAGAGAAAAAATGGATCAAAGTTGGAAGTCTACAGGGATAAACTTGGAAGAAAGCTGTCGCACCACGAGTACTAGCAACACAAAGCGCTTTGAATAGTAACAGCGACCGAGGAACCCGGCACACATAACGGGTGTGTGACACGATCCCCAAAGAAAGAATAATACTTACCAGGAAACCTCGAGTAAGCACACGTGCCTCCAGAGAGACTGCAGCGTCGACGAGACCGGCAAAACCAGTCAGCGGAGAGGATCGTGGCAAGCGAAGCAGCCTAAGTGGAAGTGAATTAACCTCATCAGGCGCGGTGACGGTGAAGTTGGATGAATCCTCATCTGTGCGAAGACGACCCAATAGCAGGTCATCATGGTACCGAATGTCCACCGAGGATATCAAAGTGAAAGCTATGGGAAGATCGGAAATGACCATTAAGCCAACAAACCGAGGAAGAGGTGATACCATCCGACGCTGATTGGCGACAAGTTCACGAAAGCGAATTATGCTACTGACAGACAATGAGTAGCCTGTCAAATTTCAGATTTGCGATCAGCAGCAGAGCGTTACCCTCAGCAGAACGCAGGTACATAGCATTAAAGCTGTCACGCGAGCACATATAGCAGGGTATACCACGAGATCGCCCGCAAGGACGCGGATCCGCACCGGATACATCAGCAGTACAATGCAAAAACGAAATTCTTTAGACCACCGACCGCGTTACTGTTCATCTTGCACTCTACGAATTGATTCAGGATACAAACAGAGATCACAAGTGTGGTTATTTAATGTTGTCAGCTGATTCTACACACCACTGTGAACGCATACATGCCCAACCTAGCAGTTTTCCACAGTTTACCGGTTCAGGCTAACGTAGGTGTGGGTGACCTAGCAGCATCCCCGAGTCACACGCGACTGGTAATGTCTGCATATCGCTAACACGCTACAGCTTGAACGATACACGGATTTACTGCTGTATCTTTACTGTGAGCCGACTGTATTGCTTCATTTATAAGTACGATCCTGAAATCGCAGTTTAACAATACGATTAACTTTGCCTATCGTCATTAGTTCTACCGCCAAGACTGCGGCACAAGAGACGAAT